ATACAGTTTAGTGTACATCATACATATACTAGTTTTAATCGAAAGCTCATCTAATTAGGTTTAAATAAATGGGGAATGTGTCCATGGAACACAGATGATGCCCCCGCTTGCATATAATGTTATAAAGGGCCATAACTCAAGAACTGTAAAAGTGACACTACCCAAATTTGAACTTGAACTGAATTTTATGGTAATAAGCATTGTTTATAAGTTTCATAACATTTAGTTGACGTAAACTTAAATAAGAGAACAGAAACGAAAAATTCAGCAATTTTTCCATTTTTAAAGGGCATAACTCTAGAATAGTAGAAGTGATGCCACTAAAATTCAATCTTTGTCTGTGTTTTGTGGTAATTAGCATTGTGCATAAGTTTCATAACATTTGGTTGAGGCAAACTAAAGTTAGAGAACAGAAACAAATATTTCAGCAATTTTGAGATTTGCAAAGGGGTATAACTCTAGAACAGTAAAAGTGACGTCAACAAAATTCAAATTTGATCTGTGTATTGTGGTAATTAGCATTGTGCATAAGTTTCATAACATTTGGTTCAGGCAAACTAAAGTTAGAGAACAAAACTAATATTTCAGCATTTTTTCCATTTGTAAAGGGGCATAACTTTAGAACGGTAAAAGTGACACCACCAAAATTCAAAATTGATCTGTGTTTTGCGGTAATAAACATCGTGAATAAGCTTCATAACATTTGGTTGAGGCAAACTCAAGTTAGAGAACGGAAACAAAAAAATCAGCATTTTTTCCATTTGTAAAGGAGCATAACTCTTGAAAAGTAAAAGTGATGCCACCAAAATTCAAACTAGATCTGTGTTTTGTGGTAATAAGCATTGTGGATAAGTTTCATAACATTTGGTTGAGGCAAATTAAAGTTAGAGAACGGTAACAATTTTGGAACGTACGGACGGACAGACGTACAGACGGACAAGGGTAAAACTTAATGCTCCCTCCACTAGTCGGGGGCATAAAAATCCAGAAAATCAAATTCACATTTTACAAAGTATAGAAAATATATTCAATATCTGCACGTCAGAGCCATTAAAAATCACCTTTTTCGTTAAGCGAAAAAAATAGACGATGTTTTGCAACTGCATTTTAAGTCAACTTTTGCCGCATGACCATATATAATTTTTTGGTTGTTATGCAACACTGACATTTCTAATAACTGGAAATGCTACCCATTTTTTCCTAGTTTGTGTAGTCTTTGAGAAATTAAATATGGAATACCACTGGTACCCTATGGAAAATGCATTACAAATAATTGCGCTCTTGTAACCAGAAATGTTTGGAAATTTGTATTCAAAGGGAGATAATGTTATGTATTTATAGTGAATTATGATTTTATTGTATTTTGAGTTATTTCCCTTTGATCTGAAAAAGCCAATCTATTTTAGAATATGACTCAACTATTAGTTGTTCAATAAATCTATAGATTTAGATTTAGATTTTTGGTGTTTTATCGCCACTTTTAAGCACCGCTTTTGGGCTATTTCGTGGCGGCCAGTTGGTATTGGTGGAGGAAGCCGGAGTTCCCGGAGAAAACCACCGACCTTCGATAGGAAAACTGACAATCCTAGTCAATTAAGATTGGAGTCGAGTGCACCCGCACGAGCGGGGTTCGAACTCACAACCTCAGTGTTAACTGGCTAGTGATTACAGTAGTAACTACTTAGACCACTCAGCCACCGAGGCCCCTCAATAAATCTATAAATGTAGAGCTTAATTAACTATTTAATATCTCAACCCTCCTATTGTGGTATGGAAACTTGTGCTAAAATTCCTTTCACATCCATACACTTATACTAAAGTTATTGTCTGTGAACCAATTTATTTTCCATAAACCAAATTATTTTCCATGAACCAGTGATGTAAACCACAAAAATAGTTCTCTGAAATTAGATATGATGTTATTTCTATTTTCAACTATGACCCAACTTAAAATTTCTGCTAATTGTCTAATAACATCTCTGAATTTAGATTCTGAGCAAATATGTAATAATAGCATAGTTTCTGACACAGAATGAATGTGGTATAAGTTCTTAAATAATTTTAAAATGTGACATTTACCAATTAAGGTCCAATATTCAAATTCTAAATACATGGTTTTGACCCCTTTTTGGTCCTTAATTACTAAACAGCTACAACAATAACCCCCAAAATTAATCCCAACCTTCCTATTGTGGAATGGAACCTTGTGCTTAAAATGATATACAGATCTATACAGTTACATGTATACTCAAGTTATTGTCTGTGAACCAGACAAATTATTGTTTTTGTTAGGCCCTTTTTGGCCCCTAATTCCTACTATAATAACCCCCAACCTTCCTATTGTGGTATGGAACCTTGTGCTAAAATTGAATAGAGATCCATACACTTATACACAACTTATTGCCTGCAAACCAGAAAAATAGTTGTTTTCTGCCCCTTTTCAACCCCTAATTATTAAATGGTATGGGCCATGACCCTCCAAAAATCATTCAAAACTTTCCTTTTGAAGTATGGAACCTTGTGGTAAAATTTAAAGAAATCTATACTCTTATACACCAATTATTGTCCCGAAACATGAAAATTGCTTGTTTTGGCCCCTAATTCCTAAACGGCTACGACAATAAACCCCCAAATTTTAATAAATCCCAACCTTCCTATTGTGGTGTGGAACCTTGTGCTAAAATTTTGACCAAAGAAATATCTTTTATACTCAAGTTATTGTCTTAAAACTAGACAAATAATTGTTTTTGGCCCCTTTCTGGCCCCTAATTACAAAACAGCTAAAACAATAAACCCCAAAATCAATCCCATCCCTCCTATTGTGGTATGGAACCTTGTACTAAAATTTCTTACACATCCATCATTACACTAAAGTCATGAAAGTTATTGTCTGCGAACCAATTTATTTTCCATGAACCAGTAAAACTGACCTTTTTTGGCCCCTGATTACAAAACAGCAAGGACAATAGCCCCCATAAACAATCCCAACCATTCTTAAGTGGTATGGAACCTTGTGCTAAAATTTCATAGAGATCCATGAACTTATACTCAAGTTATTGTCTGCGAACCAAAATGTCTTCAGTCGCAGACGCAGACAACACCATAACATAATACTAACGCAAATTGCGGTCGTATAAAAAACCAAACAAATGAAATTGATCAACTATAAGCAATTCAGCATAGCAAAAACCCTACCATTCAATTTTTGTTGAAATCAAACAGTTTAATTTTTGGACCCTTTTTTGTTTGTTGTTGTTTGTGCTTGCTGCTTGTCTCATGAGTCATGTATAATCCTGCCACATTCTGTATACATGTGCATATTTGTGTCATTTGTTGCTGTCTACCAAAATTGTTGTAAATTTTTTGTTTAAGTATAAATCAGGCGGTTGTTTTTCTCTGTTGGATTGCTTCCCACTCTGTTTTCTCCATAAACTAGACCTAATCACAAACTAATACATTTTTGACGCAGCCGCCGCCGGAAACTACATACCTATGTCTCACTTTTTGACTCCGTATGATAATAAAAAGATCTTAAAGACTCATCAGTCAGGGGACTTATTGAAATAAGTGATTATTAAATCACTTATTTAAGTAGCAAATTCGAAGTTTTGTCACAAATTGTGATTTTGTAGTTTTACCAAAATTTTAAACACATAGGTTTAGATAATATCTTTTCATTAGTAAAATTGAAAAAAATGAACTTTTTGCTTCTTTTAAGCAGCAAGGTTTATGCCTTTGATGCAATCATTTAGCTGCAAATTCTATTTTAGTTAAAAATGCTATAAAAATGGCTTTACATAATGGACTGATACTATCTTAACAGATTTTTCCCAGCAGTGGGAGTTTTTTTCCAGTAAAATTCAAGGTTTCTTCTTATAGATTATGTAATAAAATTCTACTGTGCACGATCAAAATTTCACTGTTCGAAAGGGGGGGGGGTTGAAATTAGTGGGGGTTATTAAAACAATACTTAAAGAAGTGATTTTCTGGAAGGAAATTGAGGTATGATACTTAAACAAGTGATTTTATGTCATTATCCTAGATTTAGTACAAGGTCATCCCCTGACATGACCCGGTCATCCTATCAACACAGATGTTGGTTCTGATAATTTTAGCAACGTAATTAGTCCCTGGATCATTAGTATTGTCTATTTAAAGGTACAATAAAATTAAATCACTTAGTCTAGTGATTAATTTGTACTACTTAAATAGGTGATTATTAAAGAAAGACAACTTTTTTTTCCAACCTTTCTGGACATAATGTTACTTGAATCAATGATTTAGAAAATCACTCATTTAAGTAAGTCCCCTGACTGCTCATAGAAGGACGACATCTCTGATTTTTTTTGTATTCACAAATTGACAACCACTTTAGACTAAGGTTTCTTTTGAAGAAACAATCCATAATATCAATAGATGAGGTTTTACATGTTTCCCTTCCAATATATGTTTAACTAGCCTGACCGGGTATACAGGGTTTTTTTTCTACAAAAACTAACATTTTTAGACTTTTTATAGTATCTTTTATTTGTCCCTTTTAATGAGAATGTACATTTTAGAGCTTATTTAGCCAGATGTACATTCATTAAAAAGAAAACATTGTTTGATATTAACATATTTTAAGCAAAAGAAAATAGGCTTTCAGAACATGTGACTATTAGCCTTGATGACTGTGATGTAATTATAGTAACGTTAAATGTATGATATTTCAGATCTTTAGCAAACATAAGCTAATTTTAAGTACATTTTGGCTATATTAATTAACATACAATGTAGAGCACAAGCATTGGCAAACTGATTTTTTTTCCCGGGAAAAGATAATGCAAAATAAACATACTATTAAATTATCTTTTTGAAAGACCGCTGCCTAGAATGTTTTATTTAAGAACATATATTCAACATTGACCAGCAAAAATCAGATATAGTTTGAAAATATATTTGATTTTAGGGCCAATTTGGCCAAAATTGAACCACCTCCTTGTTGACTGACAAATATTTACCTCTAATATTCCAAGGAACTGTATCTTCATGAGATATTTTCAACTTTTTCACTTCTTCTGTCATATCTTCATTGGTTGTTTTCATCTTTTTCACTTCTACTGACATATCTTCATTGGCTTTTTTCAGTTCCATTATTTCATCATTGGAATGTTTAATGCCAAGCATTATTTCCTGATTACTCTGGTCCAGTATCTTTGTCTTCAAAATATCACACTCCTGTTTCATTGGATGTCCACCTAATCTGCTGATAGCCTGGAAATGTAAGAGAACAGTCTTTATAAGTTAAATAAATGTAAGAGAACAGTCTTTATAAGTTAAATAAATGTAAGAGAACAGTCTTTATAAGTTAAATAAATGTAAGAGAACAGTCTTTATAAGTTAAATAACAAAGGATAATATGACTTATCACACTCCTGCTTCATTGGATGTCCACCTAATCTGCTGATAGCCTGGAAATGTACAGAGAACAGTCTTCATTAGTTAAAAATAACAGAGGTTAATATGACTCATCACACTCTTGCTTCATTGATTGTCCACCTAATCTCCAAATAGCCTAGAAATGTAGGAGAACAGTCTTATTAGTTAAATCAGTTAAATAACAGAGGTTAATATACATTTATTTCCCGTGCCGGAGGGAGATATGAAGATTTGTTCACCCAAGAATATTCATATTTCACGAGGGCTCTGCCCGAGGGAAATATGATTTTTCGAGGGTGAGCAAATCTTCATATCTCCCGAGGCAAAGGGAAATGAATGTTTTATTCCACTGCCTATGCTTTGTTTACTATCAATACATTAAATATTATTTTGCATACATTTTTTTTCTTATCCGCTTGTTTTTGTAAGTCAAACTAAACACGACATACCCATTTATAAACAGTAAGGATCAAAATTTAATTATAAGTCTTTTTGTTTTATCGTCTGAAATAAATTTGAACATGATAATGATTTTTGCTATCGCTATTTTAAGAAGAATAAGAAGTTCAAAACGTTATGTACATTAACCACGCGTAACGTCGCACGAAGTAATCCCGACATTTCAGAGGGGAATATGATCCTCAGAATGGAATATGAAGATTTGTTCAATGACACATGGGATAGTCTCAACCAATCAAATATTGATTAAACTATCAATATGTTTAAACAGTGGAATAATATGACTTATCACACTCCTGCTTCATTGGTTGTCCACCTAATCTACTGATAGCCTGGAAATGTACAGAGAACAGTCTTCATTAGTTAAATCAGTTAAATAACAGAGGTTAATATGACTTATGACACTCTTGCTTCATTGATTGTCCACCTAATCTCCAAATAGCCTAGAAATGTAGGAGAACAGTCTTATTAGTTAAATCAGTTAAATAACAGAGGTTAATATACATTTATTTCCCGTGCCGGAGGGAGATATGAAGATTTGTTCACCCAAGAATATTCATATTTCACGAGGGCTCTGCCCGAGGGAAATATGATTTTTCGAGGGTGAGCAAATCTTCATATCTCCCGAGGCAAAGGGAAATGAATGTTTTATTCCACGCCTATGCTTTGTTTACTATCAATACATTAAATATTATTTTGCATACATTTTTTTTCTTATCCGCTTGTTTTTGTAAGTCAAACTAAACACGACATACCCATTTATAAACAGTAAGGATCAAAATTTAATTTTAAGTCTTTTTGTTTTATCGTCTGAAATAAATTTGAACATGATAATGATTTTTGCTATCGCTATTTTAAGAAGAATAAGAAGTTCAAAACGTTATGTACATTAACCACGCGTAACGTCGCACGAAGTAATCCCGACATTTCAGAGGGGAATATGATCCTCAGAATGGAATATGAAGATTTGTTCAATGACACATGGGATAGTCTCAACCAATCAAATATTGATTAAACTATCAATATGTTTAAACAGTGGAATGATATGACTTATCACACTCCTGCTTCATTGGTTGTCCACCTAATCTACTGATAGCCTGGAAATGTAAGAGAACAGTCTTCATTAGTTAAATCAGTTAAATAACAGAGGTTAATATGACTTATCACACTCTTGCTTCATTGGCTGTCCACCTAATCTACTAATAGCCTAGAAATGTACAGAGAACAGTCTTCATCAGTTAAATCAAGTTAAATAACAATGGTAAATATGACTTATTCCTTTCTACCAGCAACAAAAATTAACTTAGCCCTTAAAAAAATAAATGTGGATAGTGTCCACATGTGGACACAGATGATGCCCCCGCTTGCATATCATATAGTTATAAAGGGACATAATTGAAGAACGGTAAAAGTGACACTACCCAAATTTAAACTTGATCTGAGTTTTGTGGTAATAAGCATTATGTGTAAGTCTCATAACATTTGGTTGAGGCTAACTTAAGTAGAGAACAGAAATTAAAAATTCAGCAATGTTTCTATTTGTAAACACATATAACTCTAGAACGGTTGTGTATAAGTTTTATAACATTTGGTTGAGACAAACTAAAGTTAGAGAAAGGAAACGATAAATTCAGCAATTTTTATGTTTATAAAGGGACATAACTCAAGAATGGTAAACGTGTCGCCATCAAATTTCATACTTAATCTGTATTATGTAGTAATAAGCATTGTGTATAAGTTTCATAACATTTAGTTGAGGCAAACTAAAGTTAGAAAACGGAAACAAAAAATTTGTTTCTTGATCTTAGTTTTGTGGTAATGAATATTGTGTATAGGTTTTATAATGTTTGGTTGGGTCAAACTTAAGTCACAGAATGGAAACTAAAAATTTTGCAATCTTTCGATTTATAAAGGGGCATAACTCAATAATGGTTAAAGTGACACTGCCCAAATTCAACTTGATGTGTGTTTTATCAGTGGAAGTCAAAATTACACATTGCATTAATTTTATTATATTGTATAAAGCATTGATTGTAGGTGATTCAACTATAATCATGGACAAAGGAAGATAACTCCAATTTTAATAATTACTTGATATTTAGAAGAAAATAAAAATTTTGCAATTTTTCCATTTATAAAGGGGCATAACTCTAGAACGGTTAAAGTGACGTCACCAAAATTCAAACTTAATCTGTGTTTTGTTGTAATAAGCATTGTGTCTAAGTTTCATAACATTTGGTTGAGGCAAACTTAAGTTAGAGAACGGAAACTAAAAATTTTGCAATTTTTCCATTTATAAAGGGGCATAACTCTAGAACGGTTAAAGTGACGCCACCAAATTTCATACTTAATCTGTATTATGTAGTAATAAGCATTGTGTATAAGTTTCATAACATTTAGTTGAGGCAAACTAAAGTTAGAAAACGGAAACAAAAAATTTGTTCTTGATCTCAGTTTTGTGGTAATGAATATTGTGTATACATGTAGGTTTTATAATGTTTGGTTGGGGCAAACTTAAGTCACAGAATGGAAACTAAAAATTTTGCAATCTTTCGATTTATAAAGGGGCATAACTCAATAATGGTTAAAGTGACACTACCCAAATTCAACTTGATGTGTGTTTTATCAGTGGAAGTCAAAATTACACATTGCATTAATTTTATTATATTGTATAAAGCATTGATTGTAGGTGATTCAACTATAATCATGGACAAAGGAAGATAACTCCAGTTTAATAATTACTTGATATTTAGAAGAAAATAAAAATTTTGCAATTTTTCCATTTATAAAGGGGCATAACTCTAGAACGGTTAAAGTGACGTCACCAAAATTCAAACTTAATCTGTGTTTTGTTGTAATAAGCATTGTGTCTAAGTTTCATAACATTTGGTTGAGGCAAACTTAAGTTAGAGAACGGAAACTAAACATTTTGCAATTTTTCCATTTATAAAGGGGCATAACTCTAGAACGTTTAAAGTGACGCCACCAAAATTCAAACTTGATCTGTGTTTTGTGGTAATAAGCATTGTGAATAAGTTTCATATATCTTGTTTTTTTTTTAAACTCTATTAACAGAAACTTACTAATATTAAGGTTTAAACTGCACATAAGCGCTTCAATTAAATTTTGTATTAGTGGCCCGAATACTCGTTTTCTGTATTGATATTCACGAAGTAGAAATTGCAGAGACTATGATGTTAACAAACAGTTCTATAGCATAGATTAAATCAAAAGTCATAAAGGATTTTTAAAAATAAGCAACAAATGTCTTCTATTGAGCAGAAAGAATTTAAATTGAAAGCTGTAAAATATCTTGGCGAGCGAAGTACAGTATGAAGATAATTAATCACACCACATCATCTTATTTGTATGTGGAAAGAAAACCGTAATTCACTTCAACACAGAAAATTTTATTTTCTAGTAAAGAAGTAAAAGATGAAAACACAGATAAAGATAAACATTGTGTATAGACAGTACATAGCATTACATGTATTTCAATAATCATAGAACACATTATAATTGTACAAAAGTCTTCAGACACCAGAACCACACGTGCACTCATAAACATCATTCTCATTCCGGAGGATTACATGCTTACTCTCAAATCAACATTCAGAAATAAACATTTAAATAAACGATAGTTTCATATAATACTTCCATTCATACGTCACTGACCACATTACATAGTACTGCTTTCTCTAATTGTACCTACAGGGCATGAAATATGTAGTCATTTGTAAAAATTGAAATATAATTCTTTCAAATGGTTCAATAAATCCTTTTTATATTTTCCCAGAACTCTTTTACTAGACAAAGTAATAGTTTAAAGGCAGTGGCTATTTTGCTGGCGCCGCCAACATTGAAAATATGCTATTTTGCTAACTCTCGGTAAGCGGAAGCATGCCAGTAAAAGATTTTGTTTACAGATATGCAATTCAAAACTGACTATTATTTCAAAATTAAATTTAATTTAAACATTTTTGATTTTGAAGCTATGTGATTCTATTTTTTAGACTGTATAACATTTTTATCAAATCGATATGCTATGTCTTTAGTTTTATTTACAGCATAGTTTAAAAATCTGAAATTTATTCTTATGCATATACATGTAGCAATAGACTGATTTTAGAAGTAATTTCAACTACATGTTTAAAGTGAAATGAAATGTGAACCTGTAAAAATGTTTTAAGAGTTTTCAAAAAGTTTGCTTAGTTCCAAAAAGTACGATATAAACAAATAGGTTTCACAAAGATGAGCAAGAGGAATACTGAGATAAACGTAGATGTGACAGCTACCCAACAATGATAAAATTAATATTCTATTCTTCAACTACACACTGCTCACTGTCACTTTCATCCATGGCATGTGAATAAATG